TGGAAATTTCTGTATTTTGCAACATGGATGGGCTTGGAGAACATCATGCAGAATGAAATAAATCTGGCACAGAAAGAAAAATACTATATAATCTCACTGCTGTGATAGCTAAAAAAAAAGTCAGTCTTACAGAAACAGAGTAGAAAGATGATTATAGAGTCTGGGAGTGGAGGTGGGAGGGATAAGGAAAGGGGAGATGTTGCTGAAAGGGTACAAATCTTGGTAGAGTGGAGCAAAAAGTTTTAGTGACCTATTAGGCTACATGGTAACCACAGTTAATAATAATGCATTATACATTACAAAATTGTTAAAAGAACACATTTTTAACATTTTCACCACATAAAAGAATAAAGTGATTGATTACTCAAGAAAACATCTTTTTAAAAATGTGCAAGAACTACACAACTCCCCAAAATATGCAATGCATATTTACAGATTTGAAGAGAAATAGTTTTACAATAGTAGTGGAGACTTCAGTACTCTACCTTCAGCAACAGATAGGATGACCAGACAGAAGAACAATAAAAATACAGAAGACTTCCAAGGCAACATAAACTAATTGAAACTGACTAAAACATTTTACTCAACACACAGATTACATATTTTTTTCAAGTGTACATGTAATATTTTCCAAGATAGAACTTCAAAGCAAATAAATAAATTTTAAAAGACTGAAATCATAAAAAATATCTTTTTCTACTCACAAAGGAATATAATCAGAAATCAATAACAGAGTTCAAAAATATGTAGAAATGAAACAACACTCTCTTAAATAATGAGTCAATCACAGAAGAAATCAAAAGGGAAATAAGAAAATACTTTGAAGAAAATGAAAATACAAAAAAAAAAAACTAAAACGAATGGGATGCAATGAAAACGGTGTTTAAAGGGAAATTACAGCTATAAATTAAAATATACATTAAGATAGAAGGAAGATGTCACCTCAATAACTTAACTTTATATGTTAAGGAACTAAAAAAGGAAGAGCAAACTTCACCCAGAGCTAGGAGAAAAAAGAAAATAATAAAGAATAGAGTGAGATAAATAAAGTAGAAAATAGAAACACTAAATAGAGAAAATAAACAAAACCCCATGATGTTTCTTTGGAAGTATGAACAAAATGATCAAAACTTTAGATGGATTTACTAACAAAAAAGAATACTCTGAGGCTGTGGGTGTGGCTCAGTGAAAGAACACTGGCATAGCAGGAGCGAGGTCCTGGGTTTCATCCCAGTACCACCATCACCACCAACAACAAATTAGTCCAATTACCAAAAGCAAAAATGAAAGTGGGACATTACTGCCAACTGTATGGAAATAAAAAGATTATAAGAGAGTACTAAAAAATTATATACAAACAAATTAAGTAACATAGATGAAATGGATGAATTTCTAGACATATAAAATCTGCCCAAACTGAATCACACAGAAACAAAAAGTGAATAGATTCATAACTAGAAAATAAATTGAGTTAGTGTTCAGAAACTTCCCAATAAAGAAAATTTCTAGACCAGATGGCTTCACCTGTGAATCCTATAAAATAAAAATTAAAACTAATCCTTCTCAAACTCTTACAAAATTTTGAAGAGGAGAGTTAATTCCTAATTTTTTTTCTGACAGCAGCATTATCCTGATACCAAAGCTAGAGAAAGACACTACAAGAGAAGAAAACCTTAGATCCATATCCTTAATGAATATTAATGCAAAAATCTTCAACAAAATTCCATCAAACAGAATTCAGAAGCATAGCCCAAGTATTACATGCCATGATCAAGTTCAAGAACGCAGGAATGTTCAATATCTAAAAACCAATCTGTAAAATATACCAAATTAACAAGAGGAGATTGGAGAAAGCACATGATTATCTCAACTGCTTCAGGAAAAGCATTTGACAAAATTCAACATAACTTCATGATTAAAAAAAAATCAATAGACTGGGAATGGAAGGAATCTTCCCCAATACAATAAAGGCTAAAACATATTAAAAACACACATCATACTCAATGCTACAATTTTGAAATCTCTGTTAAATAAGGAGAAATCAAGGATACATGCTTTTGCCACTGATATTCCACACAATTCTGAGAGTTCAATTGGAGCAGAGGAAAGGAAATAAAAAGCATCAAAGTTGGAAAAGTAGAAATAAATACACAAATTTGTCAGAGTTGCATACACAAATTCAATGTGCTAAAAATCCATTGCTTTTCTGTACTTACAATGAACAATCTGAAAAGGAAATTAAGAGGAGGACAATTCCATATATGATAACACCAAAACAAATAAAATACTTATACTTAGGAATAAATTTAACCAAGTAGTCAAAAGCGTTGTACACTGAAAATCACCAAACAGTACTTAAAGAAATCAAAGACAATAGTGAGTTGAAACGCATCTCATGTTCATGAACTGGAAGACTTAGTATTGTCAAGATTACAACACTATCCGACGCAATCATTGCAAACTCTATCAAAATGTCAATGGTGTTTTGAAGAAATAGAAAAACTCAACTCCAAATTCACATTAAATCTCAGGGGAACTCAAAAATTGAAAATAAGCCTGAAAAAGAGCAAATGAGTGGCAGACTCATTCTTCTTGATTCCAAAACTTAACAACCAAATTATAGTGATCAACACAGTGCTACTCTGACATGCAAACATATAGAACAATATAACAGAATAAAAATAAGCCTTCATATGTAGTCAATAAATTTTCAACAAGGTACAAAATCTATTCAATGGGGAATGGTTAGTTGTTTAAACAAAAGCTGCTGGAAAAAAATGAACATACACAGGCAAAAGAATGAAGTCAAACCTTTACCTAATAGCACATACAAAGATAACTCAAAATGGACCAGACTGAAATGGATTAGCTAATACTATAAAACTCTTATAAAGTTAATATTTGGAACACATTAAACTCAACCACAGCAACAACCATCACACACACACACACACATACACACACACATACACATACACAAATAAATAACCCAATTAAAATTGGGCATTCAGCTTGAATAGACATTTCTTCAAAGAAGATATATAAATGTTCAAGAGGCACCTGATGCTTAACATTACTATCCATTGAGGAAATGCTAAAAAATCACAATAAAATACCATTAAGATAACTATTACTTAAAAAATGGAAATGACAAGTAATGTCAAGGATGTGGAGAAACTGAAACATGTACATTGCCATTGGGAAAATAAAATAGTGTAGCTGCTATGGAAAACTGGAAATTCTATGTTAACTTTAAAGTTAAACATGGAATTAAGTTAAAACATATAATCTTGCAATTCTATACACTAAAAAGAATTGAAAACATTTATGTATCAGTATCATAGCAACATCATTCATAATAGCCATCAGGTGGAAATAACCCAAATATTCATCAACCTGTGAATAAAAATAAATATAGTACAATGGAATGGAATATTATTCAGTCTTACAATGGAATATAATTTAGTCTCAAAAAAGAATGGGACTCTGATAGATACTACAATGTGGATAAAAACCTAAAAACATTGTGCTAAGCAAAATAAGCCAGACACAATAGGACAAGTACTATATGATTCCAATTACATTGGACACTTGGAATAAGCAAATTCAGATGGGAAGTAGAATGGAAGTTACCAGAGTCTGGGAGAAGGGAATACTGGGGAGTTATTCTTAATGGGCACAGAGTTTCTGTTTCAGATAATGAACTACTTCTGGAGATAGAAAATGGGTATAGTTTCCTAATGCCTCTCAATTTTATACTTTAAAATGTTGCATACATGTACACCAGAAAATTTTACCACAATAAAGAGAAAAGAAATGTTTAATATTTGCATCTAAACCCTGATTGATATACATCCATCAAATAAAACAATATCCATTTTGTTTAAAAAAAATCTATCATTTGATTTGAATAGTCAGCTTATTCAAAATACTCAATCCAGTATTTCTGTAAGGAAGGTCAAAAAGTGGCAGCAAAATGCCACCAAGATCCAAGGACAAATATCTTCAAACAAGGTAACTATCAATGACCTACACCACTGTAAAACTTAAATTTCCAACAGGCCACATCCTACATTTTAACAGTTTCTACAGCACCTCTGACAAATCCCAGTCCAACTGTGAGAGCCACAAATGTCAGCTCTTTGTGTTTTAAAATCTGAGCCTTCCTAAAAGCCATTCCCTCCTCCAGGCCTCACGGTTGACCCTTCGTACCTTCAGAGGTACTCCTAGGCCATGTGCATTTGGATTTCTATTAGGGCCTCGTGCAGACACCCTAAGGTCTCAGGCAAGTAAAATGTATTTCCCAAAGGCAGAAATGTGGAGGAACCAGGAAGCCCTGCTTGGGAAGCCTGCTGGGAAGGGCAACACTTAGAAAGGAGAGAGTACCACAGCAAACTTTGCCTGAGATGGCAAACAGATAACCAGAATTCAAATTGGTCATTCAACATAATTCATTTGGTCATTTATTGGCTTTGTGAAAATAAACAACACCTTGAAACACAGGGCTGAAAATAATGGAAAAGGACTCAGTTCAACCTCAGATGCACTAACAACATCTCTTCTTCAACATGCCTGACAGAAGTGAATCCCACGCTCAAGTGTTTGGAGCCTACTGGTGCCCCATACTGCTCCAGAAGCTGAGGGTTGAATGGCGGATGAAAGGAAATTCCTGTCCTCATGGAGCAGATAGGCTGGTAAGGAGACAATGAAAGCTAGCCAATAAATACTTAACATAAGTGGCAATAAATGTGTGGAGAAAAAGGTAATAAAGTGACAGAGGAAGAGACGGTGAGCCACACTGACGTGCTGAGACAAGTACTGAGACAGTTATTTGTCCAGCTGAAACAAAATTCTAATTTTTTACATAGATTAACTTTTATAATTGTTATAAAAATCCTGAGATAGGTGCTGTGATTTATCCTCATTTTTCGGATTGGGAAACTGAAACACCTAGAAGATAAATAGCTTGCCAATGATACCTACCAAGTGGCAGTGGTGAGGTTTGTAGCTAGGCGAGTTGACTCCGGCTCGTGTGCTTACCCACCATGCCACATCAACTTTCTGGGAGCAGATCATTTTAGGCAGAGGGAATGTGAGTCAAGCCCTGCAGTGAAGAGAGAGAGCTACATGTCTTAAGTCTCCACAGGTTTGAGTAGCAAACACAGAGCAAGAGAAAGATTCACAGAACAATGGTCAGAGAGGTGGCAGAACCCATAGGGTCCTGAGTACCATTGTCAGACTCTGAAATAGTCTGAGTACTCTGCAGAGGCTTGTACCACTGCAATATTTTGAGTAAAAAAATAAAATGAATATTTCAAAGTTTTTAAAAGTCCCCTGTGGTTGTAGAATGGAGAATAATATTTAAGGTGAATGTATTTGTTTTCTTCTGCTGCTATAACAAATTATCAAAACTTAGTAGCTTAAAACAACATAAATTTATTATCTTATAACTCTAAGGTTTTGTTTGCTTTTTTTGTGTGTGTATGTGTGTGTGTGTGTGTGTGTGTGTGTGTGTGTTTTTCTGGGGATCAAGTCCAAGTCCTCCTCTCATGCTAAGCCTTTGCTCTACCACTGAGGTGCACCCCCAGCCCTGTAAATTAAAATCTTGACTTGGGTCACACTGGGCTAAAGTTAGTGTGTAAGCATGGCAGCATTCCTTTCTGGAAGTTCTAGCAGGTGAATCCAGTCCCTTGCCTTTGGGGCTTCTGGAGGCCATCTGCACTGCTTTCTTTGCTGAAAGACAGTTATGGTAGTAGTGAGGGGCTGGAGGGTCCTTGCAGCTCATCATTTGGACCCTCTCTTCTGCTTCTCTCTCTCCCAATTTTAAGGTCCATTGTGATTACATTGGACCATCTAAATCATTCAGAATCATCTTCCCATCTCAAGGTCTTTAACTCAATCACATCTGAAAAGTCCCTTTTGCCGTGCTACAAGTTCTAGGAATTCTAAGCTATTACATAGTGTAGGTGACTGTTGCATGAATAATCATGTCAAGATCTTTATTCTTAAATAATGTGTACTCTGCATTATACATATATTACTTTATTTAAATTTTATAAAAATAGTTCCAGCTGTGTATCACCATCACCCCTGCCTTATAGCTGAAGGATCTGAGAGTTGTGCCAAAGAATTGAACAGCTTGACTTCATGTCTCCATGCCTCTTCTACTGCACAATGCTGCTATAATAGTAGACTCAAGGACAAGAGGTAATCATTTGTTTAAAGGTTTTTTAATCCTATTGGATATGAGAGGTATAGAAGGTACCAATGCTGGGGAGTAGGAAAGCCCAGAATACGTCCCAGATGACCAGATTTTTCAGCTAGAATTTGAAAGACAATGTAAAGATCCTTGTAAAGAACTGAGCCTGAATTCCCAGTACACTCAGACAATTCTGCCATGTTAAAAGCCATAATCTGAAAACATCATTGTTATTTGTATTAAATCTCCAATGATAATAGACCACAGAGTTAAAGCTTTCTGGATAGCAAACCAGATACAAAAGATAGATAGAGAATGAACATATAAATATATATATTTCCCTTGACCTATTTCTAGCAAGCTATTTATTGGCTACTTCAGTAGAAAATTCATTAAGGATTTTTCCTCCCTGACAAGATTTTCCATTTCTTTCTTTCTGGCTTAACTACCCTTTTACTCTAAATCGCCGATGTTTAATGTGTTCTGGCTGTAGAATGTAGTGATACCCAAATCAGATCAAATAATGCCTCCATCACTGATTTTCAGAGCTTCCCTAATGAGGACACTTATCTCCTCTCCACAGAAATGTACCATTAGTGTGCTTGTTTCCCTTTCATCAAGGAAGCTACACAGGTGAGCTTGTGGGCCATCTGGCAAGATCTCCTATAGGGATGGCTCCCAGGTGCACAGCTAAGCAGTGTTGTGCTTTTGAGGGGGGGGGGCGTTGAGGAAGATAGGATTTTGTTATGCTTTGCTTTGCTGTATTGCATAATATTGCTGATTTTAAAGGAAGATTTTAAAGGAAGATCTATTTGACCCTCTTCATTTATATATCTCCACCCTAAAGGGAATTTGAGATGAGCAAATAATGAAGTAGGTACCAGTCTCAGTGCCAGTTAATCTGTAGTTTGGGAAAACACTATGGATGATTTTGAGAGTCTTCTACTCTTGCTATCGAGTAATTATCATTCTTGGAAATTCAAGGCCAAGCAGACAGAATTCATGGGGAGAGGTTCAGTAGGGAAAGTAGCGTTCACAATTCAGCATCCCCTTCAATATCCTCATGAAAGAACAACTTGCAAAATGTCCCATTCACAGCCAGAGCTAGGCAAAGTGATCCCCTACTGGTGCTCCAGGTGGGTAGGAAGTTGCACTTCACTACCTGTTCCCCCTAGGAAACTCAGTATGGAAAGAGAGATCAGTCTTCCAAGTTTGACTCAGATCAAACTATAAACAAACACTTAAAAGGTCCCTGCTCTCAGTTCCAGGGCAGGGAACTTGCAATCTAACAGAAATCGAGGAACAGAGAAGCTCAATTGTATGTGTCTTAAAAGAAGCCTTAAATGCACAGTCATTGGAATACAATGAACTTGATCTCATTTTCTCTTTTTGGGTCCCTGGATAGAAAGAGTGAAAAAAAAGTGGTGGTAGGGGGGGGGGAGGCGGTGAGGGGAAGACTGCTCACAGAACCTAGGCGTTAAAGGATAGATCTGTGTCACCTTAGGTGTGTCAAAAGCCTGTAGCAGGCTGCATCTATTAATATATTTGAGTTAATATGTTGAGGAGTTCCTTCCTAGAGGGAGAGCCAGCAGAAAGCTGTTTTAACTTTTCATTTTTAATGCATTACCCGTTTCCATGGAGACCAAGGTAAAGTTGCTGCACGAATTTTTCTTGTAGAAGCCAGAGTGACATCTTTATGCCTCAGGAGGTACTCTGCCAGGGTCTTCCTGTCTTCTTTTTCAGGCTACTACCCTCAGGTGCAACAGGCACTGTGTTGGAAGGCTGGGGATAAAGATGCCACCAGAGTCGGGACCAACAACATCATTTGTGGGAACCAGGGCAAAATGAAAATGTAGGCTCCTTGTTTAAAAAGCAGGACAAAAGTGCTGTTAAAGGTGCTAAAATATAAAGGTTTACCCTCCCTTTCAGTCTCCCTGTCTCAAAATATCATGGTGCTTTTTGTTTGCAGTTTAATGTTGTTTTAAGCAAAGCAAAATGGAAATTTTAAATTGATAGGATGAATTTACCCTTATACCATTCATCTTCAGAACAGCAGTTTTAAATGCAAATGTAAGAGTATTTAACCAAAGCAGAAATTATACAATTCCTATTACAGAGCTCTTAGGAAATTTTTTTTTTAATTGGAACAGTGAAAATGCTGCACAAAACTCACTCAACATCTCTTTTTTACCTCTTGATATGTGCATATTTGATGCCACAGGTGAGAACTTCTGGCCCAGTGACAATAAAAATGAAAACTGGGTGGAGACATTCAAACACACAGGCAAAGCTTTAATCGTGGGGGGATGTTGAACCTCAAGGAGGGGGTGGGACAGTGTTGGTGGAGTAAGATCAGACAGTTCCTGGAACAAACAAAGGAGATGTTTTTAAAAAATTCTTTTTAGTTGTCTTTATTTATTTACTTACATGTAGTGCTAAGAAATGAACCCAGTGCCTCACACATGCTAGGTAAGTGCTCTACCACTGAGCTACAACCCCAGCCCAGGAGACACTTTTTATTCCTGTGAAGGAGGGTAGGGGTGGGTTAGAGTTTGGAATTTTAATTGACTTAAGGTACATTTCAAAGGTGTTTTTCTTTGCTTGCATAAGAACTTCAACCTTGACATTGAGGGAGGGGCAGTCCTTCAATCTGGAGCCAAACATTACATCTTCCCTATGGATGCATCTGTCTGATATAAATCATCTTTGTTCTGTGATAAGGATGAGTCACCGAAGTTGTTAAGTGAACACACAGGTGAAGGGGAGAAGAAGGCACAAATCAAGCAAGGGACAAGGTTAGGGTCTAGGAGTTTGTCTTTAGCCCTTTGTGGGTTAAAAAATCCTAAATCTTACAACAGTACCATTCTCTTATCTAGTGTATCCTTGGAAACTTAAGGCCAAGGCATCCTGGCTTTAGTGATGCACCTGGATTTTGATGTTGATGAGATTATTTAAGAGAGTGTGGGGTAGGGAAGAACACATATCATACTTTTTCATGGATGACGGCCTGTAAGTTCAAGGTCGAGAATAGGAAGAAGCACATGTCATATTTTTAATGGCTGACAACTATGAGTTAAGTTCTGAGAGCACATCTGCCCTTTTTTCAGGGGACGGGGTCTGATTGTCTCCTTCGCCCCCCAGAGGTTTTACTTCCATCATTTTAAGGAGTGCTGTTTTCCAGGGGGTCCCTCACACACTATCTGCGTGCTCTACTTCCAACTCACTGGTATGCAAGGAAGGATTGAAAGGAAGAGGATTGATGGGTTTCTCTATCTTTCATTTTCTTTCAAAGTCATCATTTTCAGTGCCAATGTTTAGCTAATACAGGAAAGTAATACAAACAAGAAAAGATATGGTGGGGCTCCTTTTTCAGGCATATTTCTTAATATGCCATTTCTTTTTTATACTGAAAGCAAATTCTGACTCAAATGGCCTTGGGGGAGGGCTTTCATTTACAGACTTTCATTCACACTTACCTTTTACTCACCACCTCGAGTCTCATGAACTCCCATACTTCATGGGTCTGCCAGAATTCTGTGCTTGTGGGGTGTTGTAGATACTACCTGCTCATGGAGTGGCAGACCACAGGGCACAGGCAGGCCATACATCTCTCCTCTGCTCATTCACATGTTCCATTGTCCCTTGAAACATGTGAGTTCAGAGATAGAATTAATAGGAATTTTAAATGGCAGGAGCAAAGCATTAGCACTCCCAGCCCCACAGAGCTTTTAAGAGGACAGGGCCTCAGGTGGCTACATAAACCCATGAAACTGGCCCTGAGTTAGGTAATCTGCACTTTATAAAGTATGTGTTGAAGACTTAGTTTTCTCCCTTGTAAAATGAGGGCAGAGATTTTGCTCCAAGGTGACTTTTAATTGTGTTTCTGGAGTTAAAACTTACACAAGCACTGATGAGTGTGGTTTTGGTTGCCCAACATGGAGGATTTGGGAGAGCTGCTTCCCAGGAATATCCTTCAGGAGTTTACCAACTGCACTTACATCTGTGCTTTTTCTTCTCCATCCAACTCCCAGAACAGCTTGATTAACCTACCTACCACACCCCTCCAGGATAATTCTTTTTTTAATGTTTATTTTTCAGTTTTCTATGGACATAACATCTTTATTTTATTTTTATGTGGTGCTGAGGATCAAACCCAGCGCCCCACGAATGCCAGGCGAGTGCTTGAGCCACATCCCCAGCCCCAGGATAGTTCTTTTAAATATGATCCTGAAAGGCTTTCCCCACTTTCCCCATAATCCTAGAATCACATTCAAGAGCTATTCTTATCTTTAGATGAGTTTCAGAAACCTGGTCTCCTAATTTAAAACTCTTGCAATGAATAATAGGAAATTCTTGAAAGATGTCCATTTTAACCAAAAACTGATGTCTCCTCTAACCAAGAGACCAATAATTCAGTTTGACATTTGTGAAGCCCCCATGATCCGTGCAATAAATACATGGTATATAAGGAGGTGGGCACAAGATAGACAAGGGCACTGTAGCAGAGACAAGTATAGCTGATTAGATGCAGATAAGGAGCCCCACCCTCTCCTAAAAAGAAATCTCAGTCAGCTTTCCTTCACTGTGACAAAATACCTGAGATAATCAATTTAAAAGGAAGAAAGGTTTATTTGGGCCCATAGTTTTAGAAATTTCAGTCCATGCTTGGTTGGCCCATGTTCTTGGGCTTGTGGAGAGGCAGCACATAATGGTGGAAAGCAGGTGGCAGAGCAAAGATGCTCACTGCAAGGAAGCAGAAAGAAGAAGAGATGTGATCCTAATATTCACTTCATTCACTTCAAGGGCATGCTCCCAATGACCTGAGATGTTCCACTAGGCCTCATCTCCTACAGGTTCCATCAGTTCCCAATAGCAGCAAGCTGAATACCAAGACTTTAATACATGGGTCCTTGGGGGATGTTAAGATTCAATCCATAGACAGACACCTATAATCCCAGAAACCTGGAAGACTGAGGCAAAAAGATTTCAAGTCCAAGGCCAGCCTGAACATCTTAGCAAGATCCTGTCTCAAAAGATAATAAGGGCTAAGGATGTGGCTTAGTGATAGAGTATCCCTG